CCGAGACTTATTAACCTGGAGGTCTTGACACTCACCTACACGACCTGAGGCATACATACTTGGAGGAGGGGTGACATGGATGCATTGTGGTGGGGGTCGGTGTGAGGGACGAGGGCGGGTTCAGAGGTCTCCTGGACGTGAGGGGCCAACTCCGCCACCACAACATCCCCTCCAGCGCGCGATTCCTGCCTGGAGACGGAAGAAAACACCGAATTACCAGCTTTGACCTCACTCACCGTAACCTAAGATAACCTAACCTAATTTATCTAGCCCTTCTTAACCTAACCTAATTTGAATCAATCCAACTTAACCAAACCTAACATAATATAAACTAACCCATTCTAACCTAATTCAAACTAAAATAGATTAACCAAAAATAATCTAAACTGATTCACACAAACCTAACCTAGACTAGCCAGAACCCACTTAACCTAACCTAGCCTAAACTTAATCTTAACTTAAACTATCCTAAGCTACTCTAATTTATTTTAACCTAACCTGAGCTAGGCAGACTTAACTTAAAACAAACCCAACTAAATCTACCCTGACCTAAGATCAAATTAACCTAACTTTAACTAACCTAACCTAAACTCTCCTAAATTACTCAAAACAAACTTACCCCAACGTAAAATAATCCAACTAAACCTAACTTAAACTAACCCTGCTAAATCTAACTAGGTAAAACTAACCTAACCTGAATAAACTTAACATATCTAATCAAGACTATCCAAACCTAAACGAATTTAGGTATCCTGACCAAACCAAAACAAACTAATCCTAATTTAACCTAATTTAACTTGTCCTAACCTTCCTTGCCCTAACTTACCAAGATAAGGTAGTCTAACCTAATAATAACGTAACCTAGACTATTCTAATTCAATCTGCAGTTAATCTACCTAGACGTAAGATAAACAAACTGAATATAAGCTTACCCACCCAACTATAACTTTTGACTAACGTGAGGTGATCTAACCCCAACTACCCTAACGTAATCTAAACTAAGTAACATTAACCTAAACTGACCAAACTAGCCAAGTTAAACCTAGCCTAACCCAATTTAAACAAACACAAACCTTACCTGACATAAATTAAATCAAACTAACCCTGACCTGAACAGGCCAAGGTTTCTCTAAACAAGTTACACTAACCTGACCTAAACTTACCAAATCTAACTTAATCTAAGCTGTAACAGCCTCTGTCAAATATATGGGCAGAAAATATTTTATAAATGTTTGCTATTTACACCTAGCATTATATTTATTACATCACCCGGGCTCATTAACATTTGAGGAGTACTAATTACTTTCATATCACGCCACACTCAAGTAACTTTCAATTGGCCTCTCGGCTTCATAATCTAGCTGACATAACATTTGTTATCAGCTGCTGTCAGTCGATAGCTAGACATGACAACACACTTACACGTGTCACCAAGGAGTCTCTGATACTCCAAGCTGTCCTCCTCCCTCTCTGTGATAAAACAGACAAATCGCGAAGTGCTCATTAGTTTGCTATAAACTAATACATTATGTGACCTATATTTTTATAATAATATATAGAAGAAAGCTGCAAAGTGTCTATAACTGTGAAATCCGGGCAATCTGAACCAAGAACACATTTTTTAGTAACATTTCTAGTGGTATTTAGCTTAGTGACCAACCAAGCATTTAAGTCTTCAAGTGTTCTAGTGTTAAAGAAAGCTCACCAGAATTTTCCCAATTACAAAGAACACAGTGTATTGTATTGTACATTATCTAGAAAGAGAGAGACAATTATAACAAGTGACAAAGACCACATCATACAACAAGCATCAAGCTATAACAACCCTGTACTGTACTCTAGCAGCCATATTGAGCACGCCCAAGTGTCCTGACAGCCCAGCTTTCCCAGGTGCCGACAAAAGAAAACTCCCACCTTAGAGACAAGAGTATTGTAATAACGAAGCATAAACATCCCTCACTTACTGAACTAACCCTCCGTGTGACCAAACCATGTGACCCAGCATAGTATCACCCAGATAGTGTCCACTTAGCTGACCTAAGCATCTTCAAGACAAAAGAACTTCTCGTGATCTCTTATAAACTGTGTGTGTGTGTGTGTGTGTTCACCATCAAGACTCCTGCTGTGCCTCCTCGTGGCAACACAAGGTAACTGGGTGCCTCGTGGGCAGAGGCTAGATCAGCAGGGGATCACGGAGTAGCAGTGGGCCCCAGAGGGATGGCTCATAGGCCCACTGGCATGAGAACATATTCTGGTGCCTACCAACCATTGCCAAGTTGATTTACGGCTTAACCGTATAAGGCTACGGGAGTAAACCTCGAACGAAAACTCTGTGGTGGAGCTCAGCATCAGGCAGACATGCTTCCAGAGCTCCAATAACACCTCAACGGCGGTATAGGCGAGAGAGGTGAACACCATGGGAACCCAACGACTACACCGGTGGACGAAGGCAATACATGATGGTCAGGCTACTAAGGCGAAACCCAACAAACTGGGCTATCAGCAGACCATTGCAACTCTCCAGTCATTGCAACACTTGCGCCACTGGATGAGGAAAAGGGAGAGTCCAAGATGTGTGGTTGCATCCTGCACTCCTGCCTCACCACATAAACCAATTCATGTGCAGCCATCATCCAGCTCATCATACCGTTCATCATCATCAAAACCCCTATGCCCCCAAAAGACCTATTGCAATGGATGAGTGGCGACAGA